CACCGGTTCACAGAGGATCGTGGACTCCCTACTGCACCCTCCACTACTTCAGCCCAGTGCAGAAGTGAATGTGTCATGCAGAGCCTTAAAATCGCAAGAAAAAGACACCGGCTGCTGGAACAGAAACAACGAAAGATCAGAGTAGACAAATAAACCCCCGCTATTGCACTAGGTCAACAGGGAGAAAGAGAGAGAGAATAAACATATCACTTTATCAAAGAACTGAGTCAATGCACTCAGTGAGGGGAAAACTGTTAGTCACTAGCCAAATATACAAAATCCATAGTAATGTGGAGCAGACCTCTTTAACATTCATTCAATTTCAAGTTAAGCTCAAGCAGACACGTACACCAAAATCCAGAGCTACGGAGACTTTCCACAATAAAATATATGTAAACAAGAGAACACATGACTTTTCATGACTGTATTGATTGGTCTAGAAAGGTGGTTGACACGGCAATTGTACAGGAACACGCACAGAGAGTGTGCGGCGATGACCCTTTAACACCTGGCCGTACAGATCGATCAGCTGTTTTATGTCGGCAGTCGATTTGATAACTCTAAACTGTAGAATAAAGTTGAGTGGCCAGGAACGCATCAGGCTCAACGCTGGTTGAATCGATACAATTGCATTTAATTCAATATAAGACATGCGGAAACGATAATCCTTATAGATTAGCATTGTAGCACAAAGCAAAGGATCGAACTTGACACTAAAACTACATGTGATTGGCACTGCAGTAAGTTGAGAGGATACATACAAAGATGAGAATGTAAATGATGACATTTCCTCAAATCAGAAAAAAGGATAGGGGAAAAGATGGGTCAAATAAATTTCAACGATACAAAACGTCCGTGATTCACTGAAAGATTAGTATATAGTTGGTTCACGCAATATGCAATATGTTGTACCCGAAAATAAGCAAGAAAAATGAAACCGAAAGTTGACAAGTCTTCAAATCAAATACCAATGCAGTTAGAGACTCCTGTTTGAAACACACAGAAAAGGTAACTAATTATAGCTTGGTAATTCGACGTTCTATTGTAAGATTCTCATGGAACAAGAAAACACAGCTTGGTGCCATCAACTCATGGATGCCAATGGGCGTTTTTTCTTCTTCAGAAGACGACACTGAAAACGTGAACGAAACTTGCTAGGTAATGTGACCGGTGTCGGCGAGGTGAACGACTCACGCAACGCATGAGTCAGCGGCTTACACGCCCCAATGGCTGACAAATCGGACAGGTCCAGAATGTGCGCACCGGACTTCCGTGCCTATTTTCCGTCCCAGAGGCACGTGTACACAGATGTACCTACAGAGGTGATCATCTCCGGTGTCCGGTCCCGGTCATAGCTACTGAATATAACATTTGGGGATGTGAGTCGCCTTCGCACGGTGCGTGAACGGACAACACTAGTCTATGACGAGTATCCGATGCAAACGAACACAACAAATGAAACCCAACGACAGGACGAGTACACAAAGACAAAAACCAGCCTCGTCAGCTGGACTTGACGGAGAAAAAATGTACATTAATTTTTTCCAGTTGTGAGACTATTTATAACACTGAATAAAAGTCACGTGACACTTGATCTGTCCATCTTGGTTAAAAATTGCACTAATTAACATAAAACAATCAGGATTATAATTCCTTATGGCGAAAGATTATTATCACTACCGACCGCTCAGTTAGGAGTCACTTGCTCTGGAAACAGACAGAATGACCAAACCAATATTGAGAGTGCAGTTTGTGCGAGCAATCGTACCGATCAAATAAATCTATCAAACCCTATTCAACTGGTGTAAAACGGGAAGCCACAAAAAGCGGAAGACAACGACCCATCAAAATGATCACACCTGTGAAGCAAGCTACACTGAAGTTGTCTAACTGACAATGCCCGCAGAGCACGAAAACACATTAGTGGTGGTAGGAGGGGAGTTGAAAGAAGCCTAAAAGCAATGGACCACTGCAACCAACGTATTGATGTTCAACAACACAGCCTCTGTTGATCTGATCGTGTACTTGGTAATACATCAAATTAAATAGTAAGAGAGGATTGTGGGTTACAATCCTGCAAGGCGGGAGGCGCGTTTTTCACACTGGATATTTTCGAGCGTGCAAGGCGATTCCAGTACAAAAATCGTTTCAATTCGAGGGTTAATGCACTTGAAAGAATGATAATTTTTGAACTTAATTAGCTGTTTCAAGGGGGAATTCGTCGCGTATATAGCAAATGAAACGTGAACTGAAAAGCTAGGGGAGCACTGTGCAGTTGTTCCGATCTGGTTGGGTCTCATCAGCAGTGCGAACCCAACTGGGGATCGAATCCGGGAAGTCACAATACAATAGGAACACACCCATGCTACCCACTCGGCCACCGGGCAGCTGATCAGACCGCTTTTCATTTTCCATTAACAAGGTATAGCACAACCCATCTCTGCGAGCTTGTTGCGGGCCCCAATTAGTTTTCTCACATTGTATAAGAAGAATGATATCGTAATTTAACGATAGGAACGATGAGCTGTTTTACAGCTTTGCGGTCCTCTGAAAAATATGATTAGAAGTGAGCAGTACTGTACTTGAAGTGGTCTGTCGCTTGTCCACGGAACATAGAAGAGAATAAGTGAGTGGAGGACGGAGAGGCAAGCTGATCTAAATTAACCAAGAACTTATATAAAAGAGTCTGTAATTATTACAACCTCGGGTAATAAAAGTTCACTTAAATGACAGATTTTCTGTTAAATCGTTCTCAAATACAGCAATGTTGCCAATCTACTCACTTCGCAACAACTCGGACAAGTAATGTAACCATCAGCGATTGGAGAACTCAAACCTACGAATCTCTTGCCTACCCTTGAAGAAGCAAAAATTACTGCACTGCAGCAAACTCGCACTGGTACCACGAATTTTGTAGTCTGGAGAACACAGACTGAACTTTCATGTGTGCAATTCTTTGGGGGCGGGGAGGGGGTAACATCAGAGCGACTACCGGTGTTAATGAGAAATACAGTTGACGGTACGTAAACTCTGACAATCAAACCTCAAAGTAGGGTCACAGAAATTCGCATTTCGAAACGTTAAGTGAATACAGAATCTGATGTGGGATTTCGTTGTTATCAGTTAATACAAACTCCTTTGAATCCGAAGAAATCGGTGGTCTTCTGCTGTAAATGAAACTTTCGCAAAAAGCTGAATTTAGTCAGCTACATCCGAATTTTGTATCAACAAAAAGACTTGTTCATCACCTTGGCTTTGCCTTGGTGACGCTTCTCACACACACACACCCCACCCCCATTTACAAGTGTTAACTTTGCAATCTATTCCCACACCCTATATAAACATGGTATTTGTCTGCAGTAGGCACCAGTTGAGATGCAGTGAAATCATCCAGGAGGTAAATCGTTCAATGTTGCTATACTGGTTTCTCTTTTCACATCCGAATGATGTTACCATGTAGGCTGACGGGTTGTTTACGATTTATTTCAGACTTGTACGACAGTGTTCTGCATGAGATAAAGAGATCTATTTATGGATTCTGGAAAAAGAGTTCCTTTTCGCCTGTTCACCGAGCTTGACAATGTGTTTGCAAACGTTTCATCACCAGCCAAGGTGACATCGTCAGTGCGTGTGCGTCGATCGACGCAACGGGCAGCACGTTCCGGTTTAAAATGCTCGGCAGGCTTCCTTCAAAGGTACTAATTTTTTCATCTTGATTATCCTTACAGTTCATCGGGGTACCGAATGAATGATGCCCGGGCAACCTGGCAGTATCGCGCCCATAAGCAAATCGGGGAAATTGTTTCATTTGTATGGAGATGATTGTTTTGTTTTGCACACAATTTAGATTGAGAAGTGTGTAACATATATATATATATATATATATATATATATATAAATGTGTGTGTGTTTGTGAATGACGCATGAGATTATGTGAACGGCTGAAAGACCCGCTTTCTCGATAAAAACGTCTACAGCAGCAGTGAGAAGAGATCGGCCTCTGGCAACTGACTTCAAAGATAATTTGTAATAAAGAGAACTGTGTGCACGAATTCTCCGACCATAAAAACAGGAGACAAAATCACATGACACGGGTCTGTCACACAACAGCAGGAAGCGTAGGTGGGACAACGGTAAGGAATGCCAAAACGAAATCCTTGTATCGATTCACACTGTGACGCAACAAGTCGGCACAGTCTGCGTGGGTGGAAATGATAGGCACGTAGTTTTATTGAATAAAATTCTGATCCAGTCATAATCCAACGAGAAAGACCGGAACAGTTTGGACTCAAAAACTGCCAATATATGGAGGCAGCGACCAACGCAGAGGCAAATCAGTTTGCAGATTTTCAAATCGGAAGAACATCTCCATGGAATAAACATATTCAAATCAAGGTACACAAAGAGTGAAAAAGTGGACTCAAAAAGTATTGGTGGTGGTTCAAACGAACCTTATCAGAATCACGCTTCCCTCTTATGAGGCTATTATGCACTAACCCCAAAGAGGATTATCAAGAGTCCATTAGGACAACAGAAAAAAAAACAGCAGGATTAAACCTAAAGCAAGAGTTTAAAAAATCTTTAGTGAAGATGAAGTGCATATGGCATTTGTTGTATAGTCCTAACGCATAATTCAGTTTTCCGATCTCATGAGTAGCATCTAGCTAATTTCGCAGATACTGTATTACGAGGAGAGTAGAAATTATATCCTCGTTTGGATTCCTTCATAGAAGTATGATGAAATCCAGTATGAAGACTATCTCTACATTCTAGTTCAGCGATGGAACATAAAAACCCAAATACGTATGATTACATTTGCCCATAAAGTTGCAAAAGTTTAACTGGTTGATAGATTAAGTATCCATTTGTAAAGAAACTGTCTCCTAAAGCCACAGTTTGGTCCGGAGTGAGTGTCTTGGGTTGTGGCTGGTTATCTTTCCCCTGCACCTCTCGAAATGCTCTTATACGACTAGGCGTCTCAAATGGCCTCTGCTGAGAAGCCCTGTTCACTGCCTTCCCGTGGTTTTTAAACACAGCCTGAACTTACAGATCAAACTTTAGTTAACCGAAGGTTCTGATTGTGAACTTTCTAAGAAAATTCACCTGCATTGGACTTAAGGAACCGTGTTCTCTTTTATAAAGAGCATTGTACCGTGAGTTGTTTGGCATAGTCTCTCAGACGTGTGTGAAAAATATATAAAACATATATAAATAAATAGGGAGTTGAGTCCGAGGTGAAACAACCGTAATTTGAATTTTCTAAGCTTGTCATCACTTGGTTTACAACCAAAACGAAAACAGAAATCGACTAGTATTCTATGCAAATCTCTTCAGATGACTTCAGTCAAATTATTAGAAAAAATTCAGCTTTGAACGCTGTTCATTTGAAGGTACTACGTTGCATCGAGAGCATCAGAAAAGAGTTAGCTCACCAAGGAACAACGTCGCTCACGTCTGGACATCGGTTCCTCCAGGAATTGTGTGGCACGACGCCACAAATGAGGTGGTAAATTGATATTTGCAGGCAGCGAAAGGCGATTAGACATACGCCCGGTCACATGCCCGCCATCCGAGTTGGAATCTCCTGAGCCCGGTAGAAATCGATTGACAGGGTCTTGGCCTAAACGCCTGAGACGATTTCTTGCATCCGCTGGACGTCGACGCACCTCAGCCAAACCAGCTACCAATTCTGCAGCGGAAGTACCAGTTTCTCCGGATACTTGGGCTACTGCAGCGGCTAAACTGGGGGCAAGTCCGGCGGTCAAATTTGGCGGAATGACTGTTGAGGCTGATGTGTTCTTTGGATACTCAACCAAGCCAGAAGATCCTTGATTTGACACATCCCCGCTTTCCACCGACTGAACTGTGGGCACATGGTCATCGCTTTCTACCTCTTCCTCTTGAATGGTTGTCCCGGCAACCATGCGTGAACCGCTAAGGTCACTCCAACCAGGTGAAGACAATGCATTAATCATATTACGAGGGCTGACACGTAGAGGTGAAAGTGTGACTTGTCTAGAGGACCACGAGGGTGACACTGCTTTCTCACCCGACCCAATGGAGTTTGTTGTGCTTGGAATTGTAAGCGATTTCGGAGGTTCATTCGGTGGACAGTTATCATAGGACTCAACTTCATTTTGACTCCCGTTGGTCATGGTCACTGCGTGTAAGGGTCGGATAAGCGAATTCTCGATGGTGGGTGAAGTTTGTTTCGAATTACCTACGAGATGGGTGGTGGCTTTCACACCACTGGTGTCAACATCAAATTTATCAAGATATTCTGTTTTGCAAGCGATTCCAGGGCCAGGTTTGTTACGATCTGTGTGGTGTGTAGAACCGACGCGTTGTTGTGAATGCATTCTGGAATGTGTGGACGAATGCGTTCTCCCTGTGGAACCTAAGAGACGTTCCTCTTCATCTTCAGTACGTGAATCTTTGGTGACTGAGGAGGACGATGCAGGAGACAAATAAGAAGTTGATGAACCTCCTGGTACCCCCTCGCTCGCTGGTGAACTGTTTGATGTGGACGGGACAGAAAAGCGCTTCACATTTGGGTTATCATTCGGGGAGTTCTGGCTTGAACTGGCCTTCACAGTCAGTTGTTCAAAGCATGGGTCTGCAGATGAGGTGTTGTTAGTTTGTAAACAACCTTTCTTTGCATCTTCAACGATCCGTTCAGGAGAGCCTAGCAACGACTTAGGCTGTGAAACAACTGGGGCTGTAGAGACGCCGTTAGTTTCACTGGGATGAAAAAGAAAGTTGTGCTCTTCGGATGACTTTCGGGAGAAGTGGAAGTGTTGTGGATGCTCAGAAGCACTTAGAGGATCGCTTGGAACGAACGGGACAAATTGAGCCTTTGGTGAACCGGACAAACGTAATTGTTCTGTAAACGGGATCATGAATGGAAAACATTGAAATGTATGAATTAGAGTTGGTGGGTACAACTTGAGTGGAAAACAACCAAATTTATCAATTTTTTGAAAGCTACTCATGTTACCTATACAAGGGTTCCGTATTTGATCAAGATTTAAGACTAGTCTGATATAAGCACATTTCACTCCCGAATGGGACTATTTCAGTTTAAAGGCTATATGGAGTCAACCTTAAAGAGACTGGCTCTAACGAGAATAAGTGTAATGTTCGACAGACATCAAATGTGCAAAGCATTCAGTTGACGTGAACAAGTGAAACTAGTCAAGAGATGTGTCGGGTTAATTTACTAATGTGCTATTATCTTACAGTTACAACGAAAACAGGAATGTACAGTCTACGACGAAACAAAGTTTACTATTCCAAAGACCTGAGGCAGGAGCTTACTAATAGATGAGTATACATATGAGAGAAATCGTCTTCGCTACCACGAGCATGAGAACCTACGTTCTTTATTACAAAGCATTTTGTGATTAACACGAAAAAATAGATCGAATAGTCACAAGGATCTATCTTTTCCTCATCATCACTGGCAACCTGAGCCCTGGCAACGAATGATACAAAGCCCTACTGAGTAAAGTATGGTATTGAGCCAGACAACAGTGAAGTAGGCCACCACAAGCTTGTTACCAGTGGAGCTGTACACTCCCGGGGGCAGAAAAGGCTACTTAGGTGATGAAAAGTGAATAGGTACACACTGGTTCGTTGGATAAGGGATTACGTAGGATCAGTGGAGATGCCCGACTGCATGTCAGTTTTGCCCGATGAGCAACCACTCTGCAAAACGCCTGTAAACGCGTGGGCAACATTGTGACGTGAACGAATGTGGTCTGTCACTAAGACAATGGTCACCTTATTGTTGCCCTTGGCTGTGCAAGGGTTAGACACACCCTCAACGATATATATATATATATATATATATATATATATATATATATTTGTCACAATAACGTTGTTTGCAACACCGGGTAACCATTGGATA